TCTAGGATCTCAATATATTCATGCTTGCTGATAATTGAAATAATTAGCTTGCAAAGACAGTGCTTATGGCAAAAAAAAAATTACTTAGGAAACAGCTGGGCATGATGGAACATGAAAACAAGATCCTTTTACAAATAAAAATAATAATAACAATAAAAGAAAAGAAAGATATACGAGCCAAGGATTCTAGTATTCAGCCCCAAGATACATTTAAGTTCTTAGAGATTTGTTAAATGCTGGCTCTAAATCAATGAATACCATTGTTTGAAGAGATGTTCTTGAGGTATAAAATTGACCATATTTTCAAGCAAAAAGGACCCATATATTTTAATCCTGTGTAGGTAAAAATGTTTACAGGGTTTATATTCATGGGTATCAGAATATAAGTTAATTTTATTTTAACTACATTCCCCAGTGTTTTAATGAAGAATTATATTTTCAATATATTCTTAGATTTCTTTAAATATCTCTTCCTTTCTTGCTGTTGGTATAATAAGAGAAGAACAGCCATCAGTGGTGGTGCATGCCTTGGGAGTGTGACCATCCCAGCACTCCAGAGACAGAGGCAGGAGGATCTCTGAGAGCATGAGTCCAGCATGGTCTATCGAGTTGAGGTCCAGGCCGGACAAGGATGCACAGAGAAACCCTGTCTCAAACAACAAAACAAACCCACAACAAAGCAAACTCCATACAAGTACATAGTTTGCCATCTTACTCTTTAATCTTGTCATGGCCGCTCTACACAGGAGCAGTCTTGTCTCCCTCCACAGAGGATGGCAGGTGACAAGTAAGAGCAAGAATGGTGCTGACCCAAAAGATCCACCTAAGTGTGGTCCCAGATACCCTGCACACATAGCCCAGGGACAAGTCCCATCCTTTGCTCCAGAAAGGGACCCTGCTCTAAGCATCCAGCAGTCTTGATTGTCTACATAGAGAAGGGGACAGAGCACAGACAGGAAGGTGAGAAGGCAAATCCTCCACAGGGCACCTTCTTACAGAGACAAGAGAGCTTGGGAGACAGCTTGGAGAGAGAAAACGCTCAGAGGTGACATTCAGGGGAGAGCAGGAGGCTCTGGTACTTCAAGTGCCCCAACCCACATAAGGCTTCTTGCCAAGGACTGTGACCATGAGACCCCTTCAAGCGGGGAGTCAAGTTAGCAGACACAGACAGGGATCTCAATGGTACCTCTGTTCCCAACACGCTCCTTCACCCACTGAGTGGCTGCCACAATACTCTCTGTCTTGGTGACATCAAGGATCACTGTCTCCAGCCTGTCTGATGTCTTGTTCCTCAGCTCCTCGGCTCCCTTCTCCGTCAGACACGCAGCCAGCACCCTCATGCCTCTCCTGTCCAGCTGTCTGGCCAGCAGGTTCCCAAAGCCCGAGTCACAGCCCGTGATGAAGACATGCTTGTCTTGGAGATGGCTCACCACCTTCCTCTCCCTGATCAAGCGCAGGAGGGTCCACAGGCCCACTAGAGCCACCAGGTAGATCCACATGGCTTGCAGAAGAGAAGCTGAGAGCAAGAAACTCCTAGTCAGAATAAGCCTGACTTAAATTCACACAGGACAAGCTAGGAATGCTGGACTGTGGATTTCTACCATAGAATCCACACTTCCCTCTCAAACCACGGTATTTCTGCAACATTTATTTCATGCCTGACCTCTGCTCTTTGAACTGCTTTTGGTCTTCTGATATCCAGTGCCCTCTGGCATGCCCTTACATGCTGCCAAAGAAAACACAACTACTTGTTAAATAACACACCTCAATTCTCTTATGATCTTTGCTTCTTTTATTCATGAGGCAATATATTCATGTTTTATTCCGCAGGCCCATACAGTCAAGCCCCAGGCTCACCTTGTGACTCAGCACCTTACACACAGTGCCATAACCCCAGGGCCATGGGAACACACTTGGGTCTGGTGCCACCATGCACTTGGACTCAGGACACGATTTATAAGGAAATCCTGCTCTGAGCTCAGGTCTCTTCCTTGGGCTCCTCAGCCAGAATCTCTCCTCATAAAACAGAGCAGCTCTTTGTGTTTCTAGAGATTAAGGGGAAGCTAAAGAGACCTCAGGGTGAGCTGGTATCTTCCTGCTACAGCATCTGCCTGGGATGAAGGAGGTACCAACTACAAACCTCAAAGGATAGTGAGGGGATGGTCATATGGGACCCAGATACACACGACTTCCCAGAATGGATGTGAGGGAACGAATGACTTTTACCTTCTCAAGATGCCATCCTTGTTTGTTCTCTTCTTTGTTTGTTTCTTTGGTTTTCTGTCTTTTTTTATTTTGTCAACTGACACAAGGCAGAACCAACTGAGAAGAGGCTCCCAAGGGATTGCTATAGGCAAGACTGTGGTGGCATTTTCTTGATTGTCCATTGATTAAGGAAGATTCACACTCCTATGGACAGGGTCATCCCTGGACAGATGGTTCAGAGAGGTATAAAACTGATAGTTGAGTTAGTCAAGAGGAGCGAACCAGGAAACAACATCCTCCCCCATACCCCATGCTCTCTGCCTCAGTTGATGAGTCTGGGTTCCTGCCTTGACTTCCCTTCACAATCCTGTCTTCTGAGAGGTGAAATAAATCCTTTCCTCCCCACGTTGCTTTCAGTCATGGTGTTTCAGCACAGCAATAGAAGGCCGCTGAGGGCAGATGTCCTTCTCTTGACCGCACAGAATCACACAGACATAAGTGGAGCAATCTTGAGTTGTAACGACCATGAATGCCCCAGACCAACCTGAGCCAGGATTTCTTGCATGATTCCCACCAATCCTTACTTACACAAAATGTCTAGAGATACTTGGAGCTTTGCATGTGGTTCCTGCTTGAATGCTAGATGCTGCGTCTGAAGAATGTTTGGGAAGCATTGGGAGAATGACCTTGTTGGAGTAGGTGTGTCACTCGGGGCCAGCTGTCAGGTTACCAAAGAGTCCATCCCCTCAAATTCGCTCTGTTCCCCCACTTCTGTGAGATGTGAGCTCGCCTGCTGCTCCAGCTGTCTGCCCTAAGGGCTTTGCTCCACCATCATGGACCTGAGCGTATCGAAGCCCAGCTAAATGCTTTCTTCTGGCAGAGGCCTTGTTGATGGCATTTCATGACAGCAGTGGAAAGTAGTTCCTGCACATCTCGTTCCTGTCCCGGCATCCTACCTTACCACTGCTCCAGAAACATTTGCTCATCACAGCATAGGGACAAAGGGACTCTAGAGAACCTAAGCAGTCAAGGGACCTCAAAACCCGAGAATGGTTTGCACCTTACAAAGTGAATTCTGGGGCTCTCTTAACAGAGTGAGGCTGAAGGTAGATCCCCTGTCCTATGTCACTTCAACTGTGAGTTCGCTAGGTCCATCCATTCACGTCCAAACACACTCCTCACAGCAGCTGGAGGGCTCTTCCTCATCCTGACAGCGGGAAGCCCTCGAGCTGCTGTCCAGGGCTTCTAGAACACAGCAGGGTCTAGTCAGTCTCTGGAAATTCCGGTAGAGTCAGTGGGAATAGGAGTCCTGGTATGACTCCCTCCCATGAGGCCACAGGGCTGTAGTAGACTTCCCGAATATCCTGGTTAGAAACATAAAGATCATCTTTGGCTAGCTGTGTATGATGCACAGCCCACATGTGTGGTAAGGTAGCTATATTATGTTACCTTTGAAAATTTGTGTGCTTTCAGAGCAGGGGACCAGACACCAATGGAAACAGGTGGCCCAGGTAACCCAGCCTCTGATGCGGTTTCCTCAGAGTTCCACACCCAGACCAGCTTCAAGGCTGCGGGTTGAGACGCTGCAGCCTCAAAGACTACTCCAGCCAGAGGTCAGATAAGCCCTAAGCTTTCCCAGCATGCTGAGAGTAGACAACAGCAAACTCTCCCAGGAACTGAATATTATCCCAATTTTCTCAGGGTCCCCTAAATGATGCCAGTGGCTCCAGACAAGAGGAAGCAATCTAGAGATGACAAAGCCCATATTCTGAAGAGGTGGGATGGGTGAACTTTGGACATCCAGTGGGTTATGGATATATGTCATTGTTTAGGGGGCTTGGTGACAAGTTGTTACTGGTCAGGTCAGAAAGAAAGCTAAACAAAGGAGATTAGATTCAAGGATCTCTTTCTGAAAGAAAAAATATAATATAGAAATAACGAAAGAGTGGATTGTCGAGTCTACTTGTGAATATCCGTTGGTCTTAAATATTTTCCATTGATATGTATTTTTGTATATTTGATACAAAGTCATGCGTCCAGATTCTGTTTCAAAAACCATATGAGAAAAAGGTTAGAAATGAAAACAATGAGTAGGCCTGCAGCATGGAATGTCAATCTCTGTTTTCTACTGAGACTGTAGTCATCGCTCAGTGATTCAGCAAAGACGCCATGGCCTCCATTTTTACAACTGAAGGAGGACACCAGGGCATCTGGACAGGCTCCTCCCATTGGCAGTGTAGGACTGAATCCAGGGCTCTGTCACTCCCTGCAATTGTTCCTCCGCTCATCCTTCACTGAAGGGATCCTCACAACCCTCCTGACCTACAGAGCCAGGACTTGGGAGCCAGGGCCAGTCCAGGAGCATCTCTGACCTGGAGCAGCAAATGTTGACAGGAAACAAAAGACCAGAACCCAGAAACAACGCTCACTCCATTCACCAGAGGTGGCGGATGTCACAGATCAGAACACGGTGACCTGAGAGGGTCAGTGACTGAGTCTGGAGGGCAGGTGCTAGTGACAGAAGGGAAAGGTGGAGGAAGGAAGAGCCTGGGGGTTTGCAATACTCCCCCCCCCCCCATCTCCTTGTTGAAAACTCTTCTGCCTTATCCTGGGAATCAGGTTGCTTAACAACCCTGAAAGGGAAGCAATGGTCACTGTGCTCCATGGAAGGAAGAGCTGAGCAAGAGCAGAGGTGACAGTTGCTGGAGCTCCTCAGGACACTCCCCTCTCCCGTAACTCTGTCTCCCCGTGGTCCGCACCTCACTGCTCCTCTAGGTCAAGGCACAGGACACAAGTAATCTTTCCAACATTTATTCTAAAATGAAAGGAATCCAGAGAAAGCCATGGTTTCAAGAAAATCAACAATTGTTTCTCAGTCTTGGCGAGATTCCATACCACCAGCGTCACCATCTCCCAGCCATAGGTTGCTGATGTGGCATTTGGACATGGGGTGCTGGCCCTGGCCCTCCCACTTCACTACACAAGGGCAGATTTCACAGGGCCTGGGCAGGTTTTGCTGAGCTCCAGTAGAAGAAGGCATCTGAGAGGAAGGTGGGCAGGTAGCTCATGGGGAGGTACAAGAGCTTAGCGTCCCAGCCTGCTGAGTAGCGGGTGCGAGGATGACAGGAAGTCAGTGCATGTTCCATGCAGTCTGTCACCAAAGTAAGGTCCTCCGAGCATGTTTCCACCAATGACGTGACTATTCGCAGGTCTGCAGAGAACAAGACGTTATTCTGGTCGCCTCCACATCCCACCACCCGTGCTCAGTGACCAACTGAAGAAACCCTGTCTAGAACCCACATATCCAAATCAGAAGCCACGCCCAAGCCCAGCCTGTCCCATGACCAAAGAAGGACACAGCCCAGCTAAAGGAAGAACCGTGCACACCTCCACCTGTGTCCCTGTTCAGAGACCTTTCTGGCTGAATGGCTGGAAGATCTCACCCAACACCAGACACTAGCTCATGCTTATAGAAAGCAGTGGTTTCATGCCACCTCCCACCCCTGGCTTCATTTTTATCTCTGAGATAATGAGGGGTTCATATAAAACAGAGCCCAATGTTCTAGAAACCAGAATGTCTTTGTGTGAGCAGAATCCCACAGGCTCCCAAGGAAAGGGGAACTAAACTTCTCCACTGTGAGAAAGACAGTCTGGATCAGGCCATGGAGCACTGAGAGAAAGCAGAGACTCTGGATTTAGGACAAGGTTTTGTTTCAGTTCCTAAAGGTCACTCACAATATAACATAAACTCCTCTCCATAGACCTCTTTGACCTCTGAGCTGGCCCGGTCCCACAGCATCTTGATACTTGATGATAGCCTTCCAACACTGTTCAAAGCAGTCTTGAAGGCTCCAGGCTCTATAATAGCCACCTTCACCCCAAAATAGGAGAGCTCCCTCCTGTAAGAGAGCAGGCAAATGTCAATGACTTCAGAGGTCTTTTGAGGAAAAGATTACACCATTACAACAAGAGACTGTGGTTAAGAACATTTTAGAGGTTCGGGTCTCGTATGTGTAGCGGACGGGGACATAATTTGTGACAAGTGTAGGAACATAGCTGTCAGATGTCCTGACTGTGCCTGGTCTATCAGGGGGCACCATGCAATGTCAACAGATCGGAATGCAGCCTAGGAGCTGGGAGGAAGGTACATACAGCCATCCCCATTGCTGAATAAATGAGTCTGTTGTTTGCCTTTTACCTGACTCCCAGTATCTATACCATTGACACAGACACACGCCTGCACAACCCCTCCCTTGTGAGTGTGCATAGACCCGCCACTGCCAGGGCTGACCTGCCTTTTGCTCCAGGATGACGCTGCACTGAAGGCAGTCTGCAAATGTCACACTGGGCCTGGGCTGTTAACATTTTCTTATCCTGGAAGTCCAAGTTCAGCCTGACCTCAGACCCATACTGCAGTGCCCTCCACACATCTGGTGATTAACGCAGTCACTACTGCTAAAAGTCTCTCCATCCTGCCCATGTCCTCTCTTTTTCCTCTCTTCTTTGACTCTCTTGCGCTGTGGTTTTTGCCGTTATTGTTGTTGGGTTTGTTTTTTAGGGTCAAAACATCATTGTCATGCTAGGTTATGAGAACTGTGTACTTTAACACAGCCAGATAAGCACAGCTGAATTGAATATGGTGCTCAGCCACCTCCAGGGCATTCCCTACTGAGCATCAGGGAGGATGGCAAAGGCCAGTGCCGCTCCAACGCATCCCTGCTATGTACAGGGATGTCTTCCTGGTCAGGACAAGGATAAGAAAACCAAGTGTTGGTCATCTCCCAGGGTTATAGAGAGGGGCTTCCCAGCTTACTCCCGAGAGGAAGAGGTAAGAGAGTCCCCCAAACAGGAAAGAAAAGCTTTTCAAAACCACAGAGAAACCCTGTCTCGAAAAACCAAAAAAAAAAAAAAGAAAAACTTTTCATGAGGGTTTCTCAAAGGCTGTGATCAAATGAAACATAGGACCTCATAACCCTCCATTACCTGAGGGAGTCTGAGAAGGCCTCTACACCATACTTGGAGATGCTGTAACCACAACCAGAGAAAGACACTCGACCCACAGCGCTGGAGACATTGACCACTCGGCCCCTTGCCTTCCTCACTAAGGGCAGCATGCTCAGAGTCACCTCGATCATGCCCAACAGGTTCACATCCAGTATCTTGGCAAAGTCTTCTTTGTTCATCCACTCAATGGGACCCAAGGGAACACAGATTCCAGCATTGTTGACCAGGCCCCAGAGTCCTGGGAAGAAGAAAGAATCACATTATACAGGTATAATTATGACTAAAATCACATTACAGTGGGTAAGGCCACATGGACAGGCATTGGATGGAGAGTTAAATAGAAGTAAAGGCATGGTGTCTATGGGCTGGAGCTACCCATCCTGGTAGTCATGGCTCACAGCAGGATACCTTCCTCCTCCTTTGATTCCTGACAGCTCCCTCCCTGAGAATGGACAACCAGTGACTTCACGTTTGCTAAAAACCAGCACAGATGTTGAAGACATATGGCGCCTCTGCTAATCTGGACCCGTGGAACTGTGTTTGCATCTTACAGGTTAGTAACACCTTGCAGGTGAGGGAGCAGAAGACAGGACAGGACAGGAAAGGGACAGGGCAGAAGACAGAGTTACTATCCTAGTGGAGTTTGAGAAATATGGACCGAAAGTCCTGGCTGGAGGAGACCACGGAAAACCATGATGCATTCGTGCTTTGAATAAAGCTGGCTTTGGCAGGTCCAGCATCACCATTGAACGACTTATCACACGTGGTGTGTTGTATTTCAAAAGAAGATGTGAGGTTGTGGAGGAGGATATAAAGCAGGGTTAGGAGGAACTAGAGGAGAGAGAGGCATTGGATTGATATGATACAAATTCACTGAATGACTCCATGAAATTACCAAACAATGGGTAAACAGTCTTAAAACTCTATCGAACCATGTTCCTGGGGCGCTTGCCACACAGGCCAGCAGGAAGGAGGAGGTGACACTTCCTGCAAACAACAGGACACGAGCTCCACCCTCTGTCCCAGATAATGGGGCCCTCTCTGCACACTCACCCACAGGCCACTCTCACACATCCTGCCAGTCTCTAGGCAGTGGATCTTCAGGGAGCCACCCTGCAGGATCCACCATCAGCTACACAACGGTCAGCACTGGACGCCGCTAACCTCCATGTGTAGAGAACGGGGGACTGGCTGATTTAAGAAGAGCAGGTCACTTTAGATCTGGCTCAATAAGTCAGATGCCTCCTCAACTCAGATCCATGCCTGTCCTTCTTGAGGTGAACATGTTTAATCAAGGAATTTTACTCTAGGATCTCAACATATTCATGCTTGCTGATAATTGAAATAAATAGTTAGCCAAGACAGTGCTTATGGCAAAAAAGAAAGAAGGAAAGAAAGAAAGAAAATAAAAGAAAAAAATAAATGTGGGAAACAAGCTGAACATGATGGCACATGAAACCAAATCCCTTTTACAAAAATAACAACAACAATAATAATAAAAGAAAGAATTATGTGCAAACATTCCAGTATTCACCTCAAAATATATTTATATTCTTAAGGATAGGTTAAAGTATTCCCTGCTCCTTATCAGTGAATACCATTATCTGAGAAAATGTGCTTCAAGTATCAAAACTGATCATACTTTTAGGTGAAAACAATTCATGTATTTTAATTTCATATGAGTCAAAATGTTTATAGGTTTAGGTCAAAGGAGTGAGAATATAGGTTAATTTTAATTAAAGTATCATTCCCCAGTGTTTTAATGAAAAATCATATTTTCAATTTATTCTTAGATTTCTTTAAACACCTCTTTCTTGCTTGCTATTGGTTTAATAAAAGAACAGCCAGCAGTGGTGGTACATGCCTTTAATCCCAGCACTCCGGAGACAGAGGCAGGGGGATATCTGTGAGCTCGAAGACACCCTGAGATGCACAAAGAAACCCTGTCTCAAAAACCAAACCAAACCAACAACAAAGGAGCCCCCTTTCAAGTATGTTGTTTCCCAAGTCAGTCCTTAAGCTTGTCATAGCTGCTCTACACAGGAGCGTTCTTGTCTCCCTCCACAGAGGATGGCAGGTGACAAGTAAGAGCAAGGACGGTGTTGACCCAAGAGATCTACCCAAGCGTAGCCCCAGATACCCTGCACACATAACCCAGGAACAAGTCCCATCCTCTGCTCCAGTAAGGGACCCTGCTCTAATCATCCAGCAGTCTTGAGTGTCTACATAGAAGGGGACAGAGCACAGACAGGAAGGTGAGACGGTAAATCCTTCAAAGGGCACCTTCTTACCAAGACCAGAGAGACAGAAACAGCAAGTAGGGGCTGGAGAGAGAGAAAGTGCTCAGGTGATGTTAAGGGGAGAGGAGGAGGCTCTGGTACTTCAAGTGCCCCAACCCACATAAAGCTTCTTCCAAAAAGTGTAACGGGGAGGCCCCTTCACACACGAGTCAAACCAGCAGACACAGACAGGGATCTCAATGGTACCTCTGTTCCCAACACGCTCCTTCACCCACTGGGTGGCTGCCACAATACTCTCTGTCTTGGTGACATCAAGGATCACTGTCTCCAGCCTGTCTGATGTCTTGTTCCTCAGCTCCTCGGCTCCCTTCTCCGTCAGACACGCAGCCAGCACCCTCATGCCTCTCCTGTCCAGCTGTCTGGCCAGCAGGTTCCCAAAGCCCGAGTCACAGCCCGTGATGAAGACATGCTTGTCTTGGAGATGGCTCACCACCTTCCTCTCCCTGATCAAGCGCAGGAGGGTCCACAGGCCCACTAGAGCCACCAGGTAGAGCCACATGGCTTGCAGAAGACAAGCCGAGAAAACGAAACTCCTAGTCAGAATAAGCCTGACTTAAATTCACACAGGACAAGCTAGGAATGCTGGACTGTGGATTTCTACCATAGAATCCACACTTTCCTGGTATCTTTGGAACACTTAATTCATGTCTGACCTCTGCTCTTTGAACTGCTTTTGGTCTTCTGATATCCAGTGCCCTTTGGCATGCCCTTCCTTGTTGCCAAAGAAAACACTTCTTGTTAAGCAGGACTAAGCGGGACACCTCCATTCCCATATGATCTTTGCTTCTTTTACTCGTGTGGGAATACATGCATGTTTCCCTACACATGCCCACCACAGTCAAGCCCCAGGCTCACCTTGTGTCTCTGCATCTGGCACACAGTGCCGTAAACCCCGAGCTATGTGGACACAGTTAAGTACTGTTGTCATTGTGTGCTCGGACTCAGGACAGTCATAAGAAAATCCTGCTCTGAGCTCTGTCTCTTCCTCATAGCTTAATGGCAAGGTTCCAGCATCTTCCCCTTCAACAGCAATATGGCATGGGCACGACTCTGCCTGCTTTCTCCCTCTTTTCAGTTGAGTTTTCCCACCTACTTATATCCTGCCCTGCCATAGGCCAAAACAGCTTATTTATTAACCAATGGTAATAAAACATATTCATCGCATCAGGGAAGAATCCCATACCACATTTCCTTACCAATGCCCACTACAGTCAAGTCTCTGGTGCAGCTTGGGCCTCTGCATCACACAGTTCACGTCCACAAATGCAGGCTTTGTGAACACACTTAGGTTTTGTGACCGATCATCACATAGACTTAGGTCACATTCACAAGGAAATGGGGCTCTGAGCTCAGGTGTCCTCCTCAGGGTCCTCAGCTAGAATCTCTCTTCAGAAAACAAAGTTGCTCTCTTTGTCTCTAGAACTGCAGGGGACAGGCTGAGCTGGTGTCTTCCTTTATAGCACCTGACAGGGAAAAAGCAGGGGCCAACTACAAACAGGAAGGCTGACCTCACAGGAAAACAAGGTGATAGCGCTTGAGACCCCAGATACCTAAGTCCCAGCATGACTGGGGGAGGAAATGATTTTTACCTCAACAGGACCCTCTCCTGGCTGCACGGATTCAGGCACACATGGGCACAGCCACCTTGAGTTGTAACCTCTGTGGCTGCCCCCCCCCCTTTTAGTTATTTACAGGACCCCATATAGATATTGTGCCTCCTAGACAGAGGGAAACAATTTTAAAAGAACGAAGACCCCTCTTACCACAGATTTTGTTTTCTCAAGATAATGGATAATTGTCATCTTTTAGGAATAGGTTATAAGTCATATAACGGTTGAGGGTGGAACAATCAATTTAGACTCAGGATTCTCATTTGGAATAGAAAAAATGTAATAAATAGGATAGGTTAATAAGGAAGATTAGTGTGATTATGTATAAACTATTTTAGCAACTATTAGTTTTAGGCAATTTATATTGGGAAAGATTCTTGTATATTGATACATGTGTAAAGTTATTTTTTATTCCTGTCTAATATAATTTGAATATTGATACAAATAAAAATTCTATTTCTCATATTGTGTATGTTCCTACTTCTGTCTACAGTATTATTGTACACAAATGTGAAACTATTTTTGTTATACTATATGTATCTTTCTAATGCTGCTTAAGATATTTTGCACATTGATACAAGTTAAGGATATTTTTTTCACATTGCACTATGTATTTCTACCTCTGACTAGACATTTTATACATTCTTACAACTTTGAGATCATTGTGATTATGCTGTGTACATGTTTGAAGATTATTTTCATACTGTGAAACTTTATTTAAGCTATATAGGTTATTAATAAATACAGGATAATAGCCAGCCATGTTAGTCATACTTATAGTTATGTTAGTTACGTTCTCTAGATGCACAGTGATATATCCTTAAAGATAGGTTATTGGTGTAGGAGGTCCTTCTTTTATGTGTTGCTTTCATTCATTGAATAAAGAAACTGCCTTGGCCTTTTGATAGGGCAGAACTCAGGTAGGCAGAGTAGACAGAACTGAATGCTGGGAAGAAGGGCAGAGTGGCAGAATGTCATGGATCTCCTGCCTGGGATAGACACTGGATAAAATCTTGCCGGTAAACCACAGTTATGTGGCTATATACAGATTAATGGAAATGGGTTAAATTAAGATGAAAGAATTAGCCAATAAGAAGTTACAGCTAATGGGCCAGGCAGTGTTTAAATGAATACAGTTTCTGTGTAATTATTTTGGGTGCAAGCTAACCGGGCAGATGGGATGAAAATCAGGCCCTCTCTTCTCTTACAGTTAATGGTACAGGACAATTCTATATTCTGTCAATTATATTTTAAATAAATGCTGATTGACCGGTAGCCAGGCTGGAAGTATAGGCAGGAAAACCAGACAGGAAGTAGAGGTGGGGCAATGAGAACAGGAATATTCTGGGAAGAAGGAAGCTCTTTTCCCAGTCCTGTCTCAACCACATAAGAAGCAGGATATAACCTACCCTTTTGAAAAAGGTACTGAGCCATGTGCTAACATAAATAAGAATAATGGGCTATATAAGTTATAAGAGCTAATACGAAGCCTGAGCTAATGGGCTAATCAGTTTATAACTTATGGAGACTTCTGTGTGATTTTCTTTGGGGCTTACCAGCTGTGGGAACTGGGCAGGATAGAAACCTCAAATAGTAGGCCCACATGCTACAGGTTATCTTCAAACACTTCAAAGACCTATACAATATGGCATTGAAATGTTGTCTTAATTTAGAATTCTTAATTTAGAATTGACTGAGACACGACTGCTCCTGACAATACCAATCTACTTCCAAGGGTATGATGGGCACCAAAGACACTCCATATGGAGCTTGTTTTCTTCTTGGCAAAACTGGCATATTGGGCAAAGGACCTTACCTCAACTCCTGACAGTAAGCATGCTGTCCCATCTGGACAAGCAAGATACACAGAGAAATGACTGCTGAACCTTGCCAAGACAGGGTAGATTGTCTTTCGAATTTTCCTGCTTCTGAAATGGTCTGATAGATATTCTAGGCCTCTAGACAAAGTTGATTGCCCCAACATTGCAGAGAGACTTTGGGTTACTGTCCAGGTAGCCAACTGTTTCTATCATTTCTTATATCTTTTGGAAGTTGCCTGGTTGCACTTCCTGTTTACTTGTGTAATATTATTTTCCCTCTCAGGTCATTGGTAGAGTTGCAGATTAAATACTTACAGTTACAATCCTCTCATAGCTTAGCTAAGAGCATAACAGGTATGAGATTCAGATTCTTCAGGATAGGACAGCTATTTGAGTAATCTCTGTGTTTTGCCATTCGCATATGATCTGGACATTTAGTATGTATTTTTTTCTTGACATTTCTTATTGGTTATAGTTTCATTTTATTGTATGTTGTTGCCCTTTCTTTCTCCTAGAAATGATTTGATAATTGTTCTTATTGTATATAGTATTGTATTAGGTTTAGAACCTTCTTCTTTAGACAAAGCCCCCTTTGTATATGGGTATTCCTATACCCATGACCTTGGGCTATATGGACCAATAAAGGAGGTGTTTCATGTCTGTCTATGTGACCTCTTAAAAGAAAACTGGGAGTGGTTGCTTGCCCTCTTGTGTGGTGATTAGAAGTCAAACTGCTGGCTCCATTCACATCCAGGGAAAATGGAAGACCACAGCAGCTATTTACCTTGGGCGTTCTGGAGGGGATGCTGAAAAATCACTGGTGCCCTTGAAATGGGCCCTTGAGGAGTTGCCTGTAGTGCATTTCCTTCTAATTACACTTTGCTCAGAATCATCATCACGTACTTGAGCCCATTCCCATGTATGCTGCATTGAACATAATTGATCCCAATAATCTCACAACAAAGCACAATTAATAAAAACTCAGGGAGAGAAATTGGGGTTCAACCTGAAGAATCAAAAAGCAAAGCAGTCAGCCACTTGTTCTTACCTCGAACTCAGTCTGAAAATAGTGGTCCTGCCACCAGGAAATGAAGAATAAGATTGTGTTTGAGAGCTGTATCCTCCTGTTTTATAATCCTCCCTAGGGCTGGGCTTAAAGGTAAGCACCACTGGGATTGAAGGCATGCACCACCCTGTTGCTATGACAACTAGTGTGGCTATTGGGATTAAAGATGTGTGTTACCATTGCCTGTTCTATAAGGTCAGTCAGTGTGGCGGTTTTACTTTCCCAAGCACCAGGTAAGATTTATTTATTATTATTTTATTTATTAAAATACAATTGAAATGCTTCTATATCAGAGGAGTGATACTATTAGGACTTGTTACCCTGTTAGAGTTGTTGAAGGAGTTATGTCACTACTGGGGTGGAGTTTGTATTTTCCTCTGTTCATGTATACACATGTCTGTACACATGTATGCATAGAGAGCTGTAAATCCATCAGACTTCATATTTACACTTGCCTTCCTTTATATCCTGGTCAATCTGTCCCTTTACTGCTCTGATGCTGGAACCAACACTCATTGTGACTTAGATAAGGAATTGCTTGAAGTATTACATGGTATTGTATTATCATGAGTAATAGTATTCAAACGTATTGATTGAATATAATATCATATAATCAATGCATGGTGAACTGGGTATGCTGGTGCCATGGACAGTGCCATGACAAGGACTAAGGTATCAATCCAGGGGCAATTGGCAAAGTCTTTTTCCTCTGCTCACAGTTCAGGTGTTCATGGATGATGATTAGTGTGAGCAAAACCAAGCAACTGCTGTTTCCTGGAGGTTCTAGCCGGAGATGGCTGCTTTCAGACCTCCTACAGAGCCCAGACAGCCTCTTCCCCTTCGCTGTTATAATAAACAAGCCGAGGCTGCCGCTCACAGTGGAGCAGCTGAGGCTCCATCAGAGCACACACGAGCCACTGATGCCAGCTTTTCTGTCCATGTGTCTGTGTGTCTGTCCTTTCTTCATTCCCTCGCTGCCCCTCAAAGGTCCTGTGGGTGTCAGACCTAAGAGATGTGCTAAAGCAAGGCTAGAGATCGAGAAGGTCATGATGTACCTGGGGGACATAGTGAGATCCTGTCTCAAAATAGAAAGTTAACTAGAGATGTAAATAAGGAGTTTAGCCATAGGGACAGGTGGTAGACTAGAGGACCAAAACTGTGTTCCCAGCTCTACAGT